CTCATTATACATCTCCAACATCAAGGATTCTATCAATTCGTTCAATTCATCTATTATTTTGTACCATTCTGCTGGGAATCCATCTGGGCCTGGCGTTTTATTATTTTTCTGTTTCTGAATCGCCTGTTTCAATTCTAGGTTTTTGGGTTTTTTTTGACAACATTTTTTTCATATCTTCTGTTATTGACGGGATTTCTTCTCCATTTAGATATTCTTTTATTTGTTTTCCATCTACTTGTTCCCCTTTATACAGATTCTCAAAGTACTTGTATGAAATCTTTTTTTCCCCTTCCATTGTATGTTGTAGTTCACCAGTTTCCTCTTGAAGTTGATATATTAATCTTTTTTCTCTTTCTTTTCTCAATCTATATGACAGACACCTCCCTGGTTTATTTGCTTGCTCAAAGAAATTTTCTTTTGTTAGTTTTAGGCCCTTTACCATTTCTTCCTGTTCTAATATATTTAATTTATGTTTTGCTAACATCCAATCCTTTCTAATTTTGTCACTTTGTGGCTTATTTTGTAATTCTATTTCTAAATTTTTAGTTTCCTCCTCTAATATCTTCTGTTGTACCCATTTTTCTTTCTTTCTTTCTTTCTTTTTTTTTTGCTGAATACGCTATAATAATTCCATGGGAATAAGCTTTCATGCTGTGCCATAAATTTTGAATAGATGTCAGTTCTTTTGTGTTTTCCTTAAGGAATAACTCCAATTTGTTTCTACATTTTTTAATAAATTCTTTTTCTTTTAATATTTGCAAATTTAACGTCCATCTTTGTCTAGTTTTCCCCCCCTTTCCAGATTATTTTAATGGGGTTGTGATCTGCCCAAGTATTTGGTAATATTTCAATTGTATGTATTTTTGACCCAATTTCCCCATTCATCCATGCCATATCAATCCGTGATCAGGATTGGTGTGGGTTGGAATAAAAAGTAAATTGCTTTTTTCTGGTTCCATTTTTCTCCAAATATCTATCAAGTTTAGCTCCTCCATCATCTCAAAACAGGTTGTTGGTAATACTTTTTTTTATTTTTAGTTTTTTCGTCACTTACGTAATCTTTTTTACTGTCTACTATGGCGTTATAATCTCCTATTATGCAGATATTCCTCACTCCAATTTCTCTAATTTTTTCATGTAATTTTTTATAAAAGTCCTGATTTTTGTTTGGGGTGTATATTGCTACCAATAGTATTGATTTTTTATTTATTCATATTTCTATCATTAATATTCTTCCCTTTGGGTCTGCATAAATTAAATTTGTCTTTATCCCATCTTTAACATATATCTCAATCCCTTTTCTCTTTTCTTCTGCTGATGCTGCATATAATTTTCCTAACTTAGGACATTCCAGGTATTTTATATCTTGTTTTTTAAGGTGTGTTTCCTGTAAGCATATTATATCTGCCTTTTGTTTTGTTAATTTTGCCCAGATATGCTTTCTTTTTGTTGGCGAATTTAAACCGTTAATATTTACTGACAATAATTGAATTTCTTCTTCCATCCTCCTAACTCTCTACCTGTCTTTGTTTTTTTTTATTAACTCTAGTTTCTTTTTTGGCTCCTTGTTTTTGGTCTCACTTCCTCC